AACTAGTACAAAAATCCATTGATAAGCTACGCTGTAATAGACATAAACTCATCTAATATGAATAAATCCCAATTAAAATTACAGAAATGGACGATTATAGTTCTGGTTATAGTTAAACTGATATAGTTAAACAAGAACTTTCCTCGGTGTCTAAATACAGAAACTGTTATTGTTTATAGTATCGAAACTATAGCATGTCCATTTATGTACCTTTATCTTTGCTTTATTGACGTTGTACTGCTTTATTCATACGTGGCACAAATAATATCCTTATTCTCTTTTTGACTTTAAATGTGCTTTATAGATAAATGTCAACTATGAAAAGTAGCGTTTTATATTTTTTATTTTACAACCGTCTTTGAGCAGTCGACCCTATTTTGGGTTTAGGACTACATATAAACTCCGGAGCCTTGCAATTTTGAACCACTCCAGAAGACAAGGAAACTCCTAGATCAGTGCCCCCAGAGGAATGATTTGTTATGAGAACATGGAGAACTTTGAGACTCGACAGATTTAACGAGCATCAGTCACCATTTACTACACGGGGAGTCTTCGGCCAGCGGGGATCGAACCCACGACCTCTTGGACATAGCTTTGGTCTTCTCGGCTCCTATAAGTAGCGTTTTATTTCACATTTTTTGACCGTCGTTGAACAACCGACCCAATTTTATGGGTTTACGACTACTAATGTTCAACTCCGTAGCCTTGTAATTTTGAACCCAATTCAGAAGACAAGGAAAGTCCTGGATCGAGTATTTGGCGAAATTTGGCTTCGTGGAGGACTTTTTGATGGAGCTAACATGCATTTGCGTTACATGGAGAGGAAGACCACGAGAACCTCCCACGGTTACCCTGACGGCAAGGGGACTCTAAATCATGATCCGTCTACCACTGAGGATATTTCGTGTCAGCACTGTGGTCAGTGCAAGCAGAATGCGGAATTCGTACCGACTGGGATTCGAACCCGGTTCGCCGCATTGGAAGGCGAACGCTCTATCCCCTGAGCCATCGCTGCTCAAAAGTAGAGTTTAAGATGTTTAATGTGTCTCCCTTTGCGTTCATCGATCTGTTCTAATTGTAAAACTATTATTTCTAATTTTCGTTCAGAATCTGCCGCCATATTTTTCTCAGAAGTTTGTTAGTCGACAGAGTTATTACTCAAATGAAGTTCCGCATCTTCAATGTATGTAAATAAATACCTTGAGTAATTTAGCTCTACCTATCCATCAGTTTTTGTTCTAATTTCTTTTATTTAATAATTTATTTTTTAATTCCCTGTAGTTTAAATGGTATCGCATTTAGACCAATAGAATGCATTCTAGAGCCTTCTAAAGTAGTAAACGTAACTCTTGTTAATCCTTTACATTAAGAATCGTTAACACGGACACCTTAAGAAAATGGCCGAAATACTTTTTTCCTTTATGTATACTTTATTTACTGCAAAATTTCTGAAGGAAGAATAGAGAAGAAAAAAATACTACCATAAGTTTCAAATGAAATAAATGAGCTTGTTTTTAAAAGGTTTTATAAATTGTACTCAATAATCATTGACGCAATTTTTTTTCATACTTTTTTTGTTATTTTTCATCAATTTAGATGGAAATAAGTGAAAAATAGTTTATTTAGCATTTTAATAATTGATGGTTATGAAACGTCGAAACGTGTCGATTTCTGTGTTAAAGGCAACATTTCCCAAATATGGCTCACTTTTAAAAAATAATTTTTCAAATTTACACTTAGTTATTTCTAAGAGTAACAGTTATTCATTATTGAAATTTCCTCCTTAATTTACAAAATCAATTATTCATCAAAAAAATTCATCATATTATCAAAAAAATTAATTACTTTTTTAGATTTTAGTACAAAAATGATTCCGATAATCGAATAGATTTTTAGTAACTATAATGCCGTTCTTTCATTAATATATATATATATATATNATATATATATATATATATATTTACTTGTAACTATAGCGTCGGGAAAAGGCACACCGGTGTGCCATCTGCATCAAAGGGTAAAGCACTTGTTTAGTAACTCACCGAAACACTTTTTATGAACTTTCATATGTTAATTAAAACTTCGTTTTATATATGAATGTTTCTTATGTACATAATGAATGTGCATAAGAATGACAATATCCAATAGCATCATTATTTTCTGCCTTTTCGAATAACCATTTCAAAAGCAATTAGCTTTTAGTAAATGAGTTTTGCCGGAACATTTCATTGATTTTGAAGCTAATTACGAACGCTTAGTTTCAGACTCTATTCTTCTAGTTAACTCAGATATCTGATGAGCAATAACAATCAAAAAAGATTTTTAGCTTTTACGGACGAACAACGGTCTGAAGTGATTGAAGTCATGCCTTTTATACTCTGTCTTTTCTGAAGTTAATGCCTCTTTTCGTTAAGACTCAGTCTAGTATTGGATCTGACAAATTTTATAGCACTCCGGGGAGGATTGCTTTTATTTCTTGCGATAAATCTTGGAAATTACTAAGAAAGCCTGGAATTTTCTAACTGATTGCTCAATTGAAAAGTTTAGCCAGTTTGTATCAAAGGGCACAGAATGGATTTAGGATTAAACATCAGTTTCGTCGTTGGAAAAGAGGAATTTCCCACTAAAAATAGCAGATAAGTTTAGAAGAATTTTTAGAAGATAAGTTTATTAAAAGTGTTAGAAGATAAATTTATAAAAAGTGTTTGAAGATAAGTTTATAAAACTGTTACAAGATTAAAAATAAGTTTATATAAATTTTTCAAAAATTAAATGAATAAAAAATTTTGAAAGATAATAAATTTTTTTTACAAAATTCATCGATAAAATAATGTTACAAGATAAGTTTAACAAACAACGTTGCATGAAAGGTACGTTTAAAGCGGTAAAAGCAATAAAACTTAACAAAAAATGTAATTCAAAACACTTATTCCTCAAAAGGCATAGTTAAAACATTCTAATTATATAAATGAATGTAAAAAATGTTAGTGTAGGAAATATTTTTAATTAAGTTTAATATGAAAAGTGTTTTAATTAATATCTTTAAAAATACATTTTTTATATTTAGGTTATTAAAATAAGGTTTTTATCATCCTTTAATATAATTTAAACTGCCTAGAAAATGATCAGAATATAACATCTTTTTAATGAGCCAATTGAAAAATATTAATATATATGGTTTTAATATATATATATATATAACGTATCTTATGCGCTTTAGAACAAAAAATGTAAAAAAAGTTGCCCCTCAGTTTTTATGAAGTTCTTTTCCATTTTTTTCTTTTATTTCCCAACGTTACGCAGTAATCAACTTAAAATTTAGCCAGCAGATGGCACTATTGATGATTTTTATCAATAATTTATAATCACTTAACTATACAAAGACAATTTCACTTCTTCATATTTTCTTTTTAATATCTGTTTCTGCATAATAAAAGAATGACTTTTTCACTACGTCATAATAACATCTAATGAGAGAGCAGTACTAAAAAGAAAAACAGAAAATGGTAGTTTTAAACATTTGAACTATGACTAAGCAATAAATTCACTAATTATAAAATGAGATTAAATTAAGAAGCAATGCTCTGAACTGTGAATGAGGTTTTAATGCTTCTAATGCTCACTCATCATCATCATCATATCTGGCTAGACAGCCCAGGGTGGGCCAGTGCCTTCCTTTGAATTCGAATCCACTTCTCTCTACTTTTGACACTTGTTCGCCAGTTTTTCTCCTTTAGAGTAAGGAAATCAGTCTCAACTAAATCCAGCCATCTCAGCCTGGGTCTACCTCTTTTCCTGTTCGTTAGGGGTTTGTGTAATAGGATTTTCTTTAAATTTGAGTCATCATTCCTTCTGAAAATGTGAGCTGCCCAGTTCATTCGATTTATTTTTATGAATTTCACAGTATCTGGCTCTCTGTAGATTTTATACAGTTCAGTATTATATCGTCTTCTCCAGGAATTATTTATTTTTATCCCACCAAGGATGGCCCTCAAAACTTTTCTCTCAAAAATGGTAATTTTATTTTCCCCAGCTTGTGTTAGGTTCCAGGTCCCAGGTCTCCAGGTCTAATGCTCACTAGGATGGTCAATAATACTGAAATAATAAATAGTGAATTGAAACAGATAAAACTTCATAACATTGAAAAAATCTTTATAACGCTCTACACATATATAACCTCTATGTAATGAACTGTAAACTATAATTACCAAAAATGTTTATAACGCTCTAAACACCTGTTGTTGTTGTTGTCGTCAATCAAGGCAATTGGTGCTATTGTTCTTGTTTTCCAGGGGCGCCATCTATGGCCAAAAATTTGATTTCGACCTCACTCATACGTCACTCCCGTTTATAGGGCAAACCCATTCATACACCCATTCATTAATCCTCAGATCGTAACTTTGACCTGAACCAAAGAACAACCAGTCTCGAATTCAGCACCCCAGGAGGTATTTATTTGTTATGGGGACATGGAGGACTTTGTTGTCCGACATATTTCACGTGCACCAGTCACCATGTACTATACAGGGAGTCTTCATTCGGCTGGATTTACGAACGTGAGTCCAGCACCCTGGCAACCAGGCCATCATCCCCCCCCCCCTTAAAGAGCTGCAAATTCTATATAAAACAAAGTAATTAAATATTTTTATACCAATATTAAAACTACAATAACATTTGAAAAGATTTAGATAGTAAATATTTCAAAGCATTCATATCTGCAGAAATTTTATATTTGAAACTGCTTTTCTTGGCTTGTTTATGTAAGTGTGGTTTTTGTAAAACATCGTGGCATTATTACTTTTTACCGAGATTATTACCACAGATGCATAAGAAACAGCATTTTTGAGTTAGTATTGGATTAAATATGATTCTTACAATTGTATTTCACTTTGCTTTACAGATGTAGAAAGAGGATTTTAAAACCAGATATTGGAATTCCAAAATGGCGGTAGTCTAAGCTTGAGATACGTTGCTTTAAAAATAGCTAAGTGATGGTAATATTGTGAAAAGTATATCTTAGCAATTTTTAATCTTAACTGACTTTCATTCTTGCAACGGACATGACGCAATAGTGATAAAATGTTCAATGTTCTGGATTACACGTAATGGTATATAGCTACTGAAATATTAGGCTAAAGAAAACGTTGCTATGAATCGAAACTAGGGAAAACATCAAAAAATTCTAGTTTACATTTAGTGGGAAAAAGTATCTGAAATATCGTCAGAAATATCTGGATAGGTTTCTTAAACGAAACTTGAAAGCGTGAAAGAAGTTTGATCGTATTTAGTGGAATATCGATTAAGGAATATCAAAGTAAAAAAAATCTTCATACATTTTTAGAAACGAAACTTGAAAGCATAAAAATAATTTGGATTGCATTTAGAAGAATATTCAATTAATAAATATCTTGACACGAATATTTTGAATAGAAATAAAATAGTGATTGAGTATTATTAAACTACGTTTAGTTTGACATATATTAAAGTCAAGTATTCCAAATTTGAATTTGCTGCTAATTATAAATCAATGAATAAATTGGTGATTTATTAGTAAAATATTAATAAAGTTTAAAATAAATTGTGCTCCGTCAAATCTACATTTTGTAAATTTTTCCTTTGAACGAAATGGTAAAATATTAAAACCATCGTTAGGGTTCGAATTATAGTACTGTAAATCAACTTATCATTTGGGAAAAACCAATCTATTTATGCATTTTATTTTAAATGCAAATCTAATTTTTATAGAGGCCTAATAAGGTTCATTAATCCAGTGATTTGTTTTGATAAAGATATTCTTCTTGAAGAAATTCATATTTCATAATTAGTGAATCATTACTCATTGAACGTAAGGGATTTTCGTAATTAGTTTCCGAATAATATTTTCTCTATTTGCATCAAAATCGTGTTCTAATTTATATAGAACTGAAATAATTGATAAGGCCTTGGAATATTATTATCAGATAAAATCATTTTCGTTCATGTGCATTCAAAAACTTTGATAAAAACTAAGTACAATTTTGATGTTTTTAAAATTAAGAACTAAAACATTGAAAAAGATCTACCGAAAATGTACACAATAATGCTTTGTAGATTCAAAATCCTTAACTGATTTTAATACAAGAGTCTACTTTTACGACAAAATACGAAAATTTAAAAGATATCGTGTGAAAAGAATAATAATAGAAGAAAAATGACGGAATCGGCACCATCAGAAGTGAAAATGCCCACTGAAGAAATTAAAGAACCTATGACCATTAAACCGCTTAGCGCCATTGCTCATCGTATGTTCCACCCGCCAAAACTTGAAAGGTAAGTTTTCATTACTTTTATGGTTAATATCGTTTGATTTTACATATAATATTCATTTTGAATAAAGTAGTTTGATATAGGAAACAATAATTCATTAACAAAGGAATCGTTTGATCTGAGGAGGAATAATGCCATTCAGATTGGAATCGTTTGATATGAGAATGAATAATTTATTAAAAATGGATTCGTCTGATTTGAAAATAGTTAATTCAGAATGAAATCGTTTAATTTTAGAATAAATAATCCATTAATAATGAAAACATTTGACTTGAATGAATCATTCATTTAAAATTGCTCCATTTTAAAATGGAACTATTCAATCAGAATGGGAACGTTTGATTTAAGTGTATCAACCACATTGTTGAGCAGAGAAATGAAAAAACTTAGTTTGCTATTTAAGAAGAAAAAAAGTCTGATTTATGCCAATTAAGAAGGATTTTAAATCTTAAGAGTTAATCACTATTAATCCAAAATTACTCTGTTTATTTTTTCTGACGAATAAAGATTAATGGGACGCAATTTTGATATCATCTGACAAGAAAATTGTTGTTTGGGAGACAAACCAGTTTTTTTTAACTATATAGAACCTGGCGTCACTCATATTGCAATGAGTTAATAATTTTTTATTTTGATAACTTGACAGATATAAAGCGCACGTGCGATTTATGGGGAGACAGACCAAATTTTTAATTATTTATAATTAATTTCTTACATTTGTTCCTAGTCTTCTACATATTAGTTTTTTATTAATATAAATTATTTAGTGTGCATATGTATTACTTTAGTGTGCATTCCGTGTCACTGAGACTAATCCAATCTCTCATTAAATTATTAGCTCGTAGAATCAAACCCCGATCCTGGTAGTCGTAGATTAAACCCCATCTCACCGACTAAGAGGCCAAGTATCAGTATAAGATTTTAATTAAATGTAATAAAGTAATACGATTGCTATAGTAGTTAAATCAATACTTAATCCAATTATGTATCGAAAATAATTAATTGCCTTAAATTAAATTCTGAATTTTAGTTTACAACAGAAATCCTTATATTTTATTCCTCCAATCATAATTTAATAAATACAAAATATAAAATATGCTAAAACAACTGACGTTTTGTGACAGTATCTTTCGGAAAATATAATAAAATAATAAGACTGTCATAGCAGTGAAATCAATACCTAATACTATTATACATAGAAAATAATTAATTGTTTTTGATTAAATTCTGAATTTTAATTTACTACAGAAATCCTTAGATTTTATTCCTCCATTCATAATGTTATAAATGCAAACTGTAAAATATGTAAAAATAACTGACGTTTTGTGACAGTATCTTTCGGAAAGTAAATCAAACACTGCTTTTATAAAGTTCTTCCCTTTTGATATGTTAATTAAATGTAATAAAATAAAAAGTCTGCCGTGGCAGTTAAATCAGTACCTAATCCTATTATACATAGAAAATAATTAATTGCTTTTAAATAAATTCTGAATTTTAATTTACGACAGAAATCCTTAGATTTTATTCTTCCAATCATAATGTCATAAATACAAAATATAAAATATCTTAAAATAACTGACGTTTTGTGACAGTATATTTCGGAAAATAAATCAAATACTGATTTTATAAAATTCTTCCTCTTAGATATGTTTATTAAATGTAATAAAATAATAAGACTGTCGTAGCAGTTAAATCAATACCTAATCCCATTATACATCGAAAATAATTAATTGCGTTTAATTTAATTCTGAATTTTAATTAACAACAGAAGTCCTTAGATTTTATTCCTCTAATCATAATGTCATAAATACAAAATATAAAATATCTTAAAATAACTGACGTTTTGGGACAGTATCTTTCGGAAAATAAATCAAAAATTTTAAAAAGTTCTTCCCTTTTGATATATTCGAAATTCCTTTTTTAAAATAACTATTCTTGGAAGACTTACGGGAATAAGTTAACGTTACGTTAGTTTAAAATAGCCTAAAGGAAATTAAAAGCTTTAAAAGGCTTCAAACAGCACTTCTTTTGAAGTAGGTGGTAGTGACTATTAGAATTAAAAACTTCTCTTTGCGTTATTTTGAAATTCTGACGTCAGTGAATAAATGGTGAAGACGTAGTTCATTTATTTTTATTTCAATTCAAATTTTTAAACAAAAGTTAAATAGGTAATAAAATCGTGTTTCAAAATACTCGTATTAAAAATTTTGAAGTCTTTTTAAATAAATTGTGTCTTAATATATGGATGGCAAAGTTTTGCCCGCTATTCTATGTAGCCTTCTGGTTTTAAATTTTTTTTCTTATTATATATATCCTAATGCGCAAGAAAAAAACTGAACACCCTGAATAACTTTTGATCTAAAGATTGGATTTTTACGTACTAGGATTTTCTAGTACAAGCTAATTGGTGTTGAAGCTACGAAATAAGACACAACAACTTACTTTCTTTGAATAAACATACCTTTTTTCGATACATTAGGAGTCTTGACTCTTAAGATATGGGGGGGGGGAACGCAATCTGGAATAGTTTTGTCAAAAGAGCTGTCGAAAGGTTTGACAAATTAATGTTAATTTTACTTTTTTACCATACCTTTAGACATTTTCTAACGAATTGAAAATATTTTGTTTACAATAATTCAAAAATTCGAACATTAATTCACGAATTTCTTTATTGAGGAATCCATGCAGAAGTATTTTATAAAATCACTACAAATAATTGAAAAAAACATGTGATTAATTAAAATAATAAATTATAGTGTAATTTTTGAATGCTATCCTTTTTCAATTTTTAAAAAAATAATTTTTAAGGAATTAAATTAAATGAAACAATGTATGCTATTTAATTAATACTATGCAGGCCAATAAAATGTTTCACTGTGTTAAATAAAATAACACATAATAAAACAACACTCATTATTTCATTTACTTTAATTTACAAGTAAGCATATTATAGCGTGATCTTTCGTATAAATTTGTTATTCATGACATTGAATATCTTTTATTATTTTATATAGGCCAACCTTCCCAACCAATATTTTTTTAACCTTTCAGTGTGACATGTGAAGCAAGTTAAAAAGTTTCCCAAAAAATTTCGTTCTCTGAATTTAAACAGCTTACTATAAGAAAACATAATGAGCTTTTAATTTTTATTTATTAAAAGATTAAATTAAAAAAGTAAATGCATGTGCCTTGTGCATTAAATAGAGAGGTAAATTATTCGAATTGTGCGAATATGCTGTAAAAGTTTCAACCTGACATAAGTGTTGCAAGATTCGCGAAAAATAATTTGCTAACATTATGTCTTCAAGAAGTTAAATTTATTTGCAAAGAGTGAATGTTCCTACGATAACTAACTAATCTTATTTAACCTTCTGAAAAAACGTCTAAGAGTATCATTATTTTTAATTACTATGAAACTCCATTTCCCATTCGCATCGCTTATTAATCTCCGACGTGGTTGCTTCTAATTCATTATTGTTCTTTTTTTAAAACCGTTAAAAAAACTTTTAATTTTTTTAAATAAAATATATCTTATTATTATAATTTAATGTTAGCACATCTTATTAACATGTTAATCGTAAACGAGATAAAAAGGATTTGAAAAATAATCTAATGTACTTTTTAAAAAAATTTAAACTTAGAAATTCAGAATGTGTAACGCAATAAGAAGTAATAAATGAGAAATAATTTTACTTTTCAACAGTATATAAAAATAATTCTATATCATGCAGTTTATATTGAAAATTCTCTCTTTAAATCTCTCTTTAATTTATATATTTCTAAAATGGATTTGAAAAATATCGATATTAGTTGTTAAGATTTATATCTTTCAATATCTAATCTCTCTCTTATTTTTCTTTTATTCATTATTTTGTTACTTTTGATGTCATGTTTGAGTTTATGTATTGTATAAGTTCTTAAGGGTAGCCAATCTGGTCACCAAAAAGTGGCTAGCAAAGGAATGAAAATGTAGAGAATTTCTATACAGGGTGTCTCAGTTAAGCGTTTCAGAACTTCTAAGAGGGGTAGGGGACATCCTGACGACTCGAAATCATATAGCAATGTGGGGTCGGAAATGCTTTCCTGAAGCAGTGAGGTACACAGAAGCACCATAAAGAAAAGAGACCGTAAGTGAAAAATCGCTATAATAATACATTGAAAAAATTATATGGCCTCCTCGGTCACCCGACCTATCGTGTCTTGATTTCTGGAGTCATATGAAAACACTGGTTTATGACACCCCTGTTGATAATGCTGGTTGCAAGAATCGCAGTAGCTTCCTGCGAGATTTGCCTGGAGTATTGCAGAATGTTCGAATGTCCATGCGCCGGAGATGTGAGGTGTACATTGTAGCCAGTGGCAGAAACTTCGATCACTTACTTTGGCCCATGTACCATATAATTTTTTCAATGTATAATTATAGCAATTTTTCACTTACGGTCTCTTTTATTTATGGTGCTACTGTGTATGTCACCGCTTCAGGAAAGCATTTCCGACCCCACATTGCTATATGATTTCGAGTCGTCAGGATGCCCCCTACCCCTCTTAGAAGTTCTGAAACGCTTAACTGAGACACCTTGTATTAAACAGAGATCCTCTTTAAGTGATTTGGAAGTCCTAAGTTCAGAGGATTCGTAGCTCCCTAAGTAAAGTAATCATATTATGTAATATATTTATTATATACGTGCTTTAAAATCCATTGGTAAATCTGATGAAAACTGGAGGAGTTATTGGGCCCTTGAGTATGAAAATTGCTGTTTCGGGAATTTTGTTTTCTCTCCAAGTTCGTGTTACTGCCAAGTGTGTAGCATTTTTTTTCCGTTTAGTTCGTTCACATTTGTGAAATTGTTATGAATTTTTAATAATTTTTACGAGTACGTGCAAAATTATGAGAAGGAGAAAAAAAGTATTCTAAATAGTTAGCTGTAGTGCTCTCTCAATGCCTTAAAATACTCAAAAACACTTTGTTGATATGAGTTTTTAGGAATTTTGAAATATCGGGC